TCAGGCCGAACAGATCACCTCTCGCCCTGTTCACTGTCGTAAAGGCATTTTAGCAGGCTGCCCGGTGGCTCCGCTCATTGCCAAATTGGTGTTGGCTCCGGTCATTGGCCAGTTCACTGAAAATTTCCCCAGGGCCTCTGTCGATGTCTGGGTAGATGACATTTCGGTGGACTTCACAGGCAATGATGCCAATGTTGTCAGCAGGGAGGCACTGGACGGATATGAGCAGTTGAAGCAGGGCCTGGAAAGCATTGGTTTGCAGCTGTCAGCCACCAAAACTGGGTTTCTGTCGTCAACAGTAGAGTGCAAGAGGGCTTTGAGCCTCTTTCGACGAGATGAACAGCCTCAGGTCCACGACCTACTGAAGGACCTTGGCCTGGATTCCAGCGGAGGCCGGAGACGCCGCATTGGGGCACAACAGAAGCGCCTTCTCAAAGGCAAGGGACGCCAGTCAAAGCTGCTCCATTTGAAGTTGAGATCTCGCCCGGTTCGCATTCGCATCTGGAAGACATCAGTGCGTGCAGCAGCTGGCTACGGGCTCAAGGGATTGCACCACAGCGCCTCCGCACTCTGAGACATCAACTTGCCCGACATGGCGGTCTCCAGAAAGGTGGTAGTGTTGACATTGTGTTTGATCAGCATGCAAAGCTGCAAGACCCCAAGGACACCATTGTTGAAAGGCAGCTGAAAGCAATGCATCAATTGGTTCAAGCATGGCCGATAGCCCAACAAGGTGAACTCCGGGAACTCCGGACGGCATGGAGAATCTCGTGGAGAAGACTCCGGGCGGCGGCATATCCCTGGATGGTGGTTGCTGGTCCAATGGCTGCGCTTCAAGCCTATCTGATGGACATGGGCTGGGATGCTGAAGATCTGGATGATTGGATCAGAGCCCCCACTGGCATCATGCCCCCACATCAGCTGAACATCAGTCATCCATGGCCACACCTCCAAAGGCAGCTGCAGGCTGAACAACGTCTGCAAAGGGCCCGTCGCATTCAGGAGCTGGAGCACTGTTTCCATGATGAGGAGGCCTGACTGGACTGTGTACCACAGGATGATGCGCAAGCTCAAAGGGGTGGGCAGGGCAGCTATTGATGCTTGGACACAAGGATCCCTCAGAACCCACACGGCGGGAGATCGTGCGGTCTGCCCTATGTGCAACGTACAAGTGACCATGAAGCACCTCATCTGGGAATGCCAATATCATGAACAACCACTGCCGGCGTCATGGGTTCAAGACATCCAGGCCAATGAGAACACCATGCTGTGGTCGAGAGGCCTCATTGAAGTGCCTGATTACAGGCTTCCAGTTGGCATGGATTCTCTGGGTGTGCATGGACTGTTTGCACATGGTTGGCCCATTCGTGTCACTCCAGTTCAACGGCTGGCGATCGGTGTCAAACCCACGTGCAAGGAGCCGAGACTGCGGCATTTTGTGGTCTCTCTCATCGGTGGAGCTTGGCAGGATGGTTCGTGGCAACTGACCGGCAAGTGCACGTGTGTTGTGCCAGGAGAGGCCAATGAAGCCAGAGCTTGGGTCTTTGGATGCTGGCTGCTCCTCCAAGCCACCCTTGGCAGACATCAGGTCAATGTGGCTCACCGAGCAGGTTGGGCGGCGGCAGTCACAAAAGGTGGACGAGGCACCTGTGCACCTGATCTGTGGCATAGCCTACCGGCTGAGGAGTGGAAGAGATTGAAGATCCTCCATGTCCCCAAGAAGATGCTCCAGCAGACAGGGGATGACAACAGGTATATCAGGAAGCAGCCATGTGTGCCCATCGCAGGGCAACTAGCCTTGCCCCTGATGATCTGGTTCAGCAGACGCAAGCTGATGACCTATGGCATCAAGAAGTCTATGAGGTTGCGGCCCAGCGGATCAGCCAGATCCTCACTGACTCGGAGCACTACATGCATGGCAAAGTTGAACCTGTGCCTACTCCGTACAAGGTCAAGCCAGAGAGACCGAGAGGGCGCCTCGATATCCTCCGCCAGCTAACCCAACAGGAGCATCATGAAGGGCACCATAAATGGGCTTTGAAAGGGCAAGGCATCAAGTGCCAGCAGTGTGGCCTCCACATCAAGAGCTGCTCCACCCATGACGAGATTGCCAGGAAACAGGCCACTAGCTGCACAGGGGAGTTCAGTCGCACCCTCACCCAGCTTAAGTTGGATTTGGTTGAAGCCACGGAAGCCTTAGATGACAGTCAGGTAGGGCATCGTTGGTTTAGTCGCCCGAGTTCCTTTGGCTGTTCCAGATGCTGGTTGAAGGTTTCTGGCAGGTCCAGCAAAGAGGCAGTGCAACAGCTGAGTGAAAAGCCGTGCGAGTATGGGCCGGTTGACATGCAGGCCCTTGAGTTGAAGACCAGGGCCAGCACGCAGCACCAGTTGTGGCAAAGGGGTGCATGGCTTGAATGCCAAAAGTGTCATAGAGTCACAAAGCTCATCCATGGACGTGCACAGAGTTGGCTGGCGGGTCCGTGTGAGGGTTCCAAGAAGCAGATGAAGCTTCGCTTCGGGCCGAGCTCCGATAGTTGAGGAGTGGGCGGCCGTGCTTTGGAGTTGAGAGTACAGGAGACTGCAAGGAGAAGGAGCCTTGGTCTCATGCCAATTTTGGCCAGAGAGCCATGGCATTGCAGCTTGCAGCTGGAAAAGAACCGAGCAAAAAAATAAAGAGAGAGAGAGACAGAGAGAGAGAGAGAGAGAGACAGAGAGAGAAAGAGAGAGAGAGAGAGAGAGAGACAGAGACAGAGAGAGACAGAGACAGAGAGAGACAGAGA